GAGCTCCATGTTGGGCTCCCTGCTCAGCAGGAAGCCTGTTCCTCCCTCTTAATCACTGTGTAGTCTTTCATCACCTAACTATGCCATATGGTAGATGTCCATTTCTTGTGGCAGTCTGTGGACATTGGCATTGTTTGCTGTTTTTCACTATTTACACAGTGCCAAATGAAGGTCCTTGTGTGCATTTCCTCATTCACGTGTGTTTGGACTTCTCCGTAGTGCACATCTAGAAGTGGAGTTGCTAAGTTGTAAGATAGGCACCTATCTTTTACAAATACTTGCAAAGAGATTTTAACAGCTTATTCTGCCTCAACAATGTATGTTTCTTTCTTTCTTTTTAAGATATATTTATTTGGGGGGGGAGGGGGAGAAGGAGAGAGAGCAGGCTCCCTGCTGAGTGTGGAGCCCAACATGGGGCCCCATCCCAGGACCCTGAGATCATGACCTGAGCCAAAGGCAGACACGTAATCTACTGAGCTACCCGGGTGCTCCAACCAACAGTGTATGTTTCTTTACCATACTTAGTATCTGTATGGTCAAACTTTTGAATTTTTGCCATGCTAATTAATGAGTGAGAAATGGCATTTCATTGTTTTTATATGCATTTGCCTGATTACTGTGAGAGATCTTTTTTTTTTTGTCGTTCATATTTCTTAAAGTATGAATTGCTTATGTGCTTATTTTTTTTAGGGTTGTCTTTTTCTTACTGATTGGTGTAGTTGTTTATACATCCAGTTCTTTTACTTTTGTATATTTTCACATAGTATCTCACAGTTTGTCTAGACTCTTGTCAAGTATATCTCTTTGAGTATCTGCACAAGACCATTGGAAGAAATTCCTTGATTATAGACTCTTGGAGGTTTTGTGGTAGTCTAACAAGGGAGATAATGGAATCTTTTTTGGTATAAACTAAAAATCAAATCCTTATGGTTTTGCTTATCTTCTACATTAACCTTGAACTTAAATTTTGTACTTTGAAGATTCTGTACTGTTTTGTCAGCTCACGAATATTTTTTAAAAACTTTTTAAAAAAATTTTTATCCACCATTTTTGTTTCCAGTGGTAGGGTTGATACATAGTACTAGAAAATAATGTTTCACTCTATTCATTCTTCTCCATCTATTTGCTATATTAGTTTTAAGAAGCATTTTCTGACTTCTAAGGTTAAGGCAGGTGCCCCAGTCTGTGGCTCTCTAGCATGCTTTGCCATAGCACTCAGCTGTTTCGGACTTGCTCCATTGTCTTTCTCCTGTCTGCAGACCGCCTTTGCTCTGATGGGAAGACCACCTGGCTTACTCCTTCGAGCCGCAGTGCCTGGCCCAGTGCCTGGGACACAGGAGGCGCTCGACTGGTGACAAGGCTGCCATCAGCTCTTTTCCAGTCTGACCAGATTTCTCCCTCTGATCTTGCTTGTCTTCTTTCTTTCCTCCACTCTGAGTCCACTTGTTCTTCGTGTAGTTCAGAGCCAGTCACTTTCATGATTTGCCATTGCCCCGGCATGGAACCCCAGCAGGACTTGGCCCTCATCCCTGATGATTCTACAACCTAATCTCTCATGACGACTCACTCAGACTTCTAGGTTTTAGGACAGTCTGGATAATCTTAAGTTCCTTGAAAGCTTTCTATTTCCTCCTGGGTTTTTCCAAACATGCTGTTATTCATTCTCTCTGGAGCATTTCTGTGCCTTCTTCCCTCACAAAAGAGAATTTGGCTGACTCCTGCTCCTCTTTAGGTCCAAGGCTGCATGTGTTACTTCCTCTCGGAAGTCCCTGATCTGTCAGTGTGAGAGGGGGTTAAATTGTGTGTGGCTTTAGCACTCCACACTTCCTCCTCTGAGGCCTATGTCAGTTACTTGTTTGTTGTCCCTGTTCCTCACTATCTCATAAACTAGCAAGAGCTGAGTTAGGCATATTGACTGTTCATGAGATCTTCTGCATTGAGAGCATTTCTGGCTCATAGTAGGCATCAATGTTAATTTAGATGTTATTTTTTTCAAGTTGCAGAAGAGCGTCTCTTAGGAGTACTTAAAATATTTGTCCAAGGTTACAATTGTTAACTGAGTTTCAGATGTATTATTTATTAACGGATTTTATGGTGAGGTTACTTTTAAATTGTGATCTCTGAAAATGTTTCGTTCTAGTCCAGACTGCTGGAGAGAGAATTGAATCCATACTGGAAAGATGGCGGGACAGGTCTTCCCCCAGAAGACTGTAACGTGTCATCAGTTACCAAAGGTATCTCCAGATTTTGGTTGTAGCCACATAAGCATGTCTTATAACTTGGTATTCCTCAGGAAATGACCAAAGTTAGTAGACTGGCAAGATTTGGTTATTCAAATATTAATGATTTCTGCTTGGTGCTATAGTTTTGATTATGTCCAGAATTCTCTGTGTTTATTTCTATATTTGCCAAACAACTGTAAGTTTATTGATTATCTGATGTGGAATACACATGGTTTCATGTTATGAGTGCCTATGGATTATTACTAAAGGTTCAGATAACATAATGACGAAGCAGATAAAATATGTGCAGTCTTTTGAGGCCTTATTTAAATTTAGTACCTGGGAGGATTATTTTAACTATATATGTTTGGGAACAAATTGATGAACTGTATATATTTTGTGCTTGATAATGCTTCCATATTTGAGTTTCTGTTTTGGATGGATTAATACAAAGTATGATTCTGTGAGAGTATAATAATGCTTTGGTTTGTTACAAATTCTGTAACAAAATGTGAAAAAGCATTAAGTCTGAGATTTAATGAAAATAATGCATAAATATTTAAGTGATTTCATATCTTCAGAAACTCCTACTTTGCCAGCATTCATAAAATTTGTTATTTACTTTAGGATGGTGTTATTTCCAGCAGATGGAGATAAAATACTTAAGTGTCACATAATCACACTTGATACCATAATTTAAAAATATTTATATGCCAGTTACATGTTGCAATGACGAGTCCGTGAAGAGTTTATTTAGCTCTAGCTAACGTGGTGCAGAGATAGTAGTGGTGTCAAATATGGGGCTGTCTTTTCCTTTCAGTGGTTTATCAAAAGATTCTCATGCTTTTTGTTGTATTCTTTATTTTTATTTTGGCCATTCGTAGATATTCTTTTCGTGTTTTACGTGGAGATGTTTCTAAATCCACCCTGTAAGTTTGTTTATAATTTTTCTTCAGCGGTTTCCCGTGCTCTTAGTAATTGTAGCATTTTCTTTATTGGCTTTCAGCATAGATAGAAATGTCTCTGCTGGGTTGTAACATAGTAACTCTTTGTCACACAAAGAATCTCTTTGAGATACATTTTTGGTAATTTAAAAGCATAAGTTTAGGGCAGTAGGTTAGCTCGCTGAACCGTTACTATGTTGAGCTGATTTTTTGATCCAGGCTTTTGCTACCATTGTTGTCAGAGGACAGTTAGTAAATTAACCTGTGGGGAACACTTAGAATTGACCAACTGAACCTTTGGGTATTTGCAGCCAGTAGGTTCTCGGCTTCTTGAGTGTGGAAGACGCAGTGTTGTACTGTAGGTAGGATCTTTCAACTGGCCGAAACAGCATAATCTCAGATATGACAAGAAAAATGATCTAATAAAAAGCTTTTAGAGAGCCTTTTTTCTTTTCCCCTTCACCACCTCCCTTTCCCATTATTACTCTTATTTAGAAGGAGGAAGAATGACAGGGCTCGTCTGTCAGAGGTTTAGATCCCAGAGTTGACATTAAGTTTTAAATGATCTGCAGGCTGGACTGCGTATGTGGATAGTGTAGTCATTCTGTGTGGACCTGTGGTCGGGCTGAGCTGGTTAGGCCCCTGACAGTGGTACCACTTGAGTATGAAGGAGCTATGTAGAGGTGACATAGTGGTAGTGTTAAGGACTCAGAATTTGGACTTAGGCTACTTGGGATTAGTATTTTTGGCATTTCTACTTAGTAGCTTTTTGATTTTGGGAAAGTTGCTTGACCTCTCTGAGTTGTTTACTTGATTTTTTAAACATTTTTATTTACATTCCAGTTAGTTAACATAGTGTAGTCTCAGTTAAAGGTGTACAAGTTAGTGATTCAACACTTCCACACAGCGCCGGGTGCTCGCCACGGCAGGTGCCCTCCTTCATCCCCATCCCCCCCTGCACCTTCCTTCTGGCCATCATTGGTGTGTTCTCTGGAGTTAAGAGTTACAGCTCTATTTTTTTCTTTTTTTTATTTCTATTTTACAAGAAGAGTTGAAGTAAATTCTTCAAGTTCATGGCTAGCAAGTATCCAGACCAGCATTTGAATCCAAAGAGTTTGGCTCCAGAGCCCGCTTCCTTCCCAGCACACTCTTCTGTGCCTCTCAAAGATGGAAAGCAAAGTGTACTTTCACCCTTTATTTTGTCATACATCTATGTCAGATTTTTTTCCAGAGTGAGCATGTAATTTGTATTTGAAAAAATCTATTTAAAGCCAGCCAGCTTAATTTGATGTCAAGTTCAAGCATTTAATTTTCTGCCAAATTGGCACATCCAGAGGTTAAGGAAAATAGCTGCATAAGGACACACCCCCACTAAAAACCCTAGGATGGTTCTGTATAGTATTAGCTTATTAAGCCTCATTCTTTAGAGATAGAGAATAAGAGTTTTTCTGTTACTCTTTGCTGCCAGAGGTCTCACCCTTGCTTATGGAAGCAGATTTTGCAACTCAAAAGCGTAAAGCAAATCAGAATTTTCTTGCTTAAAATAGTTTTAATGGGAAGTGTCCTCTATGCAGCATTAAATGGAAAGAATGGAAAGAACAGAAAACGTCTGGTAGCCTCATCTGAACCAAGTCCCCTTTTCTGCGCACCACCCTGGGCCATGTCATCTCTTGATTCTGCCCTTTCCAGCCCCTCTGCAGTGTGCTGGCTGCCCCTCTAACCCATCCTCCACGAGACAACCGTAATGAGGTTCTCAGAAAGTGAGACCAGTGCTGTCAGAGGCCTCCTCCTTTAAAATTCTTCAAGGGCATCCCATGGTTCTTGGGACAAAAACAAACAGCCTTCAGGAGGCCGGGCAGCCCTGCATGCTCAGGTCTCTGGTGGCTGGTGCTCTTGCAGGCCTTGTTTACAGGGCTCACAGGGCTTTTGCACAGGTTCCCCTCCATTACCTAGCTAACTCCTACTTGTCTTTCAGAGTGAGCTTCCTCGGAGGGGCCTTTTCTGACCCCCAGACCAGGGTCGTGAGCTGCTGCATGTGCTGGTAGCTCTGTCCCTTGGCTTCCAGTAGTGATTGCACATTTATTTCCATGGTTTTTGAAACGCCCATCTCTAATGAGATGATATGCTCTGGGCAGGTAGAGAGAGTGGCTGTTGCTGCTTACCTTTTATCCCCAGCAGCTAGTACAGTACCTTTACTAAGTAAATAATATGATAAGCTACTGAACGAAAGTATGGTGTAAAGCAAAATATGAAAAAACAGCATTTTGATGAATGTTTGATGTTTTATCATCCTTTCATTATTACCTGGTTAAGCCCAGTTTAGAAATGAAAACAGAAAGATAAATTGTATGTGATCCCATTCAGTTTCTGAATATTGCCTACAGAATATGTATGCACCTGTATTTTATGTAAGAAAAGAATGGTTTCTCAGTCTTCACCTAACACTTGCTCCAAGTGGGAATAATAGTAGGCAACATTAAATGCTTTTGTATTTTCATAACAGCCGTGCGTCTTAATATCAGAGCATTCACGGGATATTGCCTCTTAACCTAAATTTACAGTAAAAGATGTTTTCAGAAATAAGTGCTTATGAAATTGATAAGCTACAACAGGGTTTTGAGGCAAATAGCTGTAAAACCTGGATAGAAGTCTCCTTAGGTTCACGTTGTCTAGAAATAGCTTCCCAGCTATTAGAAAATCAGCCCAGAGATAGTCAGAATAAATGCCATCTCCCATCCATTCCTGAAGGTGATCTCACTCGAGGACTGATGACATGGCCACTGCTGTTGCAGCTGGCGGTAGGGCTGGACCCTGCTACAGAAGCTTTGATTCTCGATCTGTTTTCTACCCTTCAGAATCTTCCTCCGTGAATTTCAGCAAGTAAGCATCGGCTCTGCAACCTTTTCTGAGAGACGATGATTATCCATCCCAGATGTGTTTACTGTGGCTTTGGTTTTTAAGAGTTAGCACACCATTTTGCCACGGAAAGGCAGAAGTGACCTCTAGAGGCAGTCAGGGCAGCCTGGGTAGAATACAAATGGAGACCAGTGGGAATCCCGCGGGATGTACAGAATCAAAGGTGGTTGTAAGTGCTAGAAAGGGAGCTTCCCAAACCGCTTGGAAGAGCACAGGCCCGAGGGACTGCAGCCGGTCCCGGAGCCCGGCATGGTCGCACCGTGTGCACTGGACTATGTTTTATTCATGTTTTTACTTCCTATTATGTTCAGCACATTTTCATATTCATAGTAAATATTTGCTAAATATTTGTTAGAGTGAATTTCATGGTGAATGGTGCTGTAAATTATTTTTTATTAGCTTTTAAAATATCTGATGATTTTCCTGTTAAAAATATTTTATTATTGTATCTCTAATTATAAGATTAATAAGACTATTGAAATAGAACATATAATCAACTAAAGATATGTTCCAAAGACTGTGAATTTTACTCATAATTGAATTCACTGAAAATTTTTATTCTTGTTTGATTTCCTTGATAAATGTTAACATAAGAGTAAAAGTCTTCCTATTTCTCTGAGATTTTTTTTTTCTCTGAACTATGTTAATATATTGGTGATTTTCTCTGAACTGTGTTACTATATTGGTGATTGTGCAGGAAATCTTCACTCTGCCCATCAGTATCTTACCAGTTTCTAGATAACTCTGAACTTATGTAGCTGGGACATTAACATAGGTATTAATGACAGTGGGCTTCTCTTTGTATAAATTGAAGATTTAGACTAGCTTCCTTCACTAACTGCCTTGTTAAATTTGAAATCAAAGACTAGATAAAATAAAAAGATAGCAAGAGCAAAATAAACTTGAAAGAAAAGTGAATCATTGAGTTAACTAGAGACCTTTTTTTTTTTTTTTTTAAAGATTTCACTTATTTATTTGACAGACAGAGATCACAAGTAGGCAGAGAGAGAGGGGGAAGCAGGCTCCCTGCTGAGCAGAAAGCCCAATGCAGAGCTAGATCCCAGGACCCTGAGACCATGACCTGAGCTGAAGGCAGAGGCTTCACTGAGCCACCCAGGTGCCCCTAGAGATCTAGGTTTTGAAGTACATAGTATTTTAGACCTGTAAAGAAAGACCCATTATCTTAGAAGATTCTGAATGCTTAACATAGACAAATTTTTGAGATTTGAGTGAGACTGGAATTAGAGGAATGAAAAATCTTTTTTTCTTTAAACTTTTTATTAAAACTTAACACATGCAAAAAAAGTATAGAAATCATTCCGTGTACAGACTGATCATTTTCCCAAACTGAGTATCTGTATCATCAGCATACTTTTTAAGAAACACAATATTATTAGCATCCCAAAAAGCTCCCTCTGTGACCCTTCTAGTCAACTGTGCTCTTGTCAGAAGGCTGACCACTATTCTGGTTTCTAGCACCAAAGTCAGTTTTTCCTGGAATCAGATAGTAAGTACTCTGCTCCCTTTTTGGTTCCTGCTGCTTGTGGTCACATTTTCAGATTCATCCACGTTGATATGTATTGGTGCAGTCATTGATTTTCATTGCTGTATAATAGTCTATTTTAGGAATGTATCATAATTCATGCTATATATCCGTTTTACTGATGGTGAACTTCTGGATTGATTTCTAAGCTGGTGTTACTGCAGACTTTTCCACTATGAAGATTCTTACATATGTCTTTTGTGGTCTGTGTGTGTTTTTGTTGATTTTAGAACTGGAGTGATCCAAAACAATCCTATTTTTGTACAGGGAAAATCAGGAACAAAGTTTTGACTTAAGTAATTGATTAAATTTCTTTATGCATATTGAAAATGTGATGTGTGTAGATGGAAATATAAGCGCTTAATAAAGTTCGTTGAAGGCATTCAGATTTTCATAGTTGGGGATCATGACTGCATAGAATAATTTTTTTTTTAAATTTCTTTTCAGCGTAACAGTATTCATTGTTTTTGCACCACACTCAGTGCTCCATGCAATCCGTGCCCTCTCTAGTACCCACCACCTGGTTCCCCCAACCTCCCACCCCCCGCCCCTTCAAAACCCTCAGATTGTTTTGATACACATTTCATTATTACCATCTGTAACTTCCTATTTGTTCTTCGTGCTGTATCTGAGGTGGCTTTTTCCCTGCCATGTGTGTACTTTTATTCTTTATTTCTGGGAATGCCCTGCCTATTCTTATCTTTGTTTATAGAAGTCCCGCTCATTGTTTTAAGCCTGGTCTGTAAATTGTTCCCTGACCTCCCATTTAGAAATATTTCATCGCTCTCATTTTTTCTATCATTACTTAAACCTTTAAAAAATTTTTTTGTTACATATTATCTTTATTGTTACTACTTACATACTCTTATACTCCAACTCCTAGATTGCAGTTTTTTCGAGGATAGCTTCATTTTTGCCTTCCTCAGTCCTTAAAATCTGTACCTTGCATAATAGGTTTATAAATAATAAGTTGAGGGCACTGCACCTGGGCAGCGCAGTCAGTTAAGCATCCAATTCTTGGTTTTGGCTCAGGTGGTGATCTCGGGTTTGTGACATGGAGCCCTGCGTCAGGCTCTGCGCTTAGCATGGAGGCTGCTTGAAATTCTCTCCTCCCTCTTTTTCTGTCCCTCCTGTTTGTCCCCTCTCTCTCTCTCAAATAAATCTTTAAAAAAAAAAAAAAACAATAAATAATATGTTGAATTTTATTTTATTTTACTTTTTTAATATGTTGAGTTTTAAATGCCCTTATGATTCTTATATGTTCTGGGAAAAATATCTAATTTATATTTTAGAAATTATTATAGAAGCAATAAGTATTGATTCTGTTATAATCACATGAAAAGTATGACTGACATTTAGTATTGGAATTTAGTTTCAGTAGTAGAAGATGGTGGACTAAGCTGGCTGAGGAAGTCTTACCAAAGAATGAAGGAACAAGCTGAGAAGCAGAATAGAAATTTTGAAGATGTTGTGGCTGAAAGATACGGGGTGAGTACTGGTATCAATGAGATAGGTATTATATTTACACTTCAATGAGACGTAAGTGTCTGTAACTGTCAGTGATTTGTGCTCTTTTGAATTAAATGGATATTAAATCTCTATCATCTGCTGAAGCCATTTTCTACCTTTTTTTAATCATATAAACTTTTGTAGCATATTTTTATTGACATGATAAATATAAAACTTAAGTATGTACAATTTAAGTGTGTGTGTTTAATGTAGAAATAACATTTTCTCATTGTGAGAAAATTTAAATAATGCAGGAAATCCTCCGTGGCATACCTCTTGAGATAACCAGTGTTGGAATTTTGATATATTTTAGAGTTTTTGTTTATTCCAGAGATGTTATATTCCAGAGTTTTCCAATATCCAGAGTTTTCCAATATAACAGGTTTATTAAAAATATATTTTTTAATATATATTTTGTAACATATATATTTAATATATAAAAATATGTTTTATAACATATTTAAATATATATACACACACCCGCACATACATGCACACACTTTTAAAACAATGGAACCATGATATTTTACATGACACTTTAGAACCAGCTCCCCCATTTACCATGTGTGAATAATCTTTGTATTCTAGTAGTTAGTAAAGACCTTTTTCTTTTTAATATCTAAAAAAAAGGCAGGTTCAGAAAGTAAGATTTCAAAAATATGGGCAGGCAAAAAAAAAAGCGAGAGAGAAAAATCGTTCTTTTTTTTAAAGAGAATGTGTTAAGTTTTAATGTATACAGTTTCCCAGATTTTTTCCTGTTTGTTACATACTTTTAAAATAAGTAGTTTTATAAAGGTAGACTCATAGAATACATTCTGCTTTTTTCACTTACTAATATAGGCATAGTTGGAAGTCGGTAAATGTGTACATTTTAAAGCCTTCTTAGTATTTTAATATGTATTTGTGTAGATTCACTGCGTATTTATTTTTTAATTGTCAGTGGAGGGACATTTATGTTTTTTCCCCCCTGTTAAATAGTGCTGTACTGATAATCTTTGTTCAGTGCATTTTGCATACTTACCAGGTTTTTTCTTTTTTTTTTTTTTAAAAGATTTTATTTATTTATTTATTTGAGAGAGAGTGAGAGAGAACATGAGAGGGGAGAAGGTCAGAGGGAGAAGCAGACTCCCCTCAGAGCTGGGAGCCTAATGTGGGACTGGATCCCGGGACTCTGGGATCATGACCTGAGCCAAAGGCAGTGGCTTAACCAGCTGAGCCACCCGGACACCCAGGTGTTTTTCTTAAGATGAATTACTAAAAACAAAATTGTTACTTTAAAGGATATAGACACTTGAAGTGAAATATATATTGCTGAATTTCTCTACAGAAAGATTAACAAGTTATATTTTCATTACAATGACTTTTCTATCACATCGTTTTCAACAGTAGGATTATCATTCCTTATAGTCTGATACTGTGTTTGATAAACATTTTTTTCATTGCTTTTTATACGTTTGTTTTCTAGTGAATTGATTTTTTTTCATATATTTTTGGCCATTTATACACACACACACACACACACACACACACACACACACACACACATATATATTTATTTATTTATTTTAAGATTTTATTTATTTGACAGACAGAGATCACAAGTAGGCAGAGAGGCAGGCAGAGAGAGAGAGCAAGAAGCAGGCTCCCCGCTGAGCAGAGAGCCCGATGTAGGGCTCGATTCCAAGACCCTGGGATCATGACCTGAGCCGAAGGCAGAGGCTTTAACCCACCACCCAGGCGCCCCATGGCCATTTATATATATATATATTTTTTTTTTAAAGATTTTATTTATTTATCTGACAGAGAGAGATCACAAGCAGGCAGAGAGGCAGACAGAGAGAGAGGAGGAAGCAGGCTCCCTGCTGAGCAGAGAGCCCGATGTGGGGCTCGATCCCAGGATCCTGAGATCATGACCCGAGCCGAAGGCAGCGGCTTAACCCACTGAGCCACCCAGGCACCCCAAAGAGGCCATTTATATTTTTAAGTGAACTGATTGTTGGCAGTATTTCCCATTTTTCTTTTGGGACATTGGTTTCTTTAAGATCTTTTAATTAGTCTTCACATTTTTCTCTTAGTTTCATATTTTTTCCTTTTTTTCATTTTTCCTTTGTTTTCCTTTCCACATTTTTCATTTTTCCTTTGTGTATTTGCTATGGGTAAGTTTTGAATATTGTTTTTTGTTTTTTTTTTTTTAAATATTTTATTTATTTATTTGAGAGAGACACAGTGAGAGAGAGCATGAGCGAGGAGAAGGTCAGAGAGAGAAGCAGACTCCCCGTGGAGCTGGGAGCCCGATGCGGGACTCGATCCCGGGACTCCGGGGTCATGACCTGAGCCGAAGGCAGTCGTCCAACCAACTGAGCCACCCAGGCGTCCCAGTTTTGAATATTGTTACCTAACAAAGTCCATCAGGTTTTCCTTTCATAACTAATTATTCTTCCTATAGTTCATTGAAAAACCTTCTTCACCCCAAAATCATAACAATGTATGTATGTATTTACTTTGAGTACTGGCTCAGTTTTATTTTTATGCATATCTTTAATCTTCCTGGAATTTATATTTGTGTATGTTGTGAATAGGCTTCTAACTTCCTAAAAACTTCACATAGTTGTTTATAGTATATTGACTAAATTAATCTTTTCCCATTGATTTGAAATGACACATTTATTATAAAATAAGTCTGTTCTTCTACTCTCAAATCTGTTCCATTGATTTTTCTGTTGTTTGTGGAATTAGTGTAGTACTCTTACAATTATTGTAGTTTTCAGTAACTCTTGCAGATAGTAGATAAGTAGTGAACACCTACTATGTGGCAGGGTAATTTTTTCTTAGTCACTAAAAAATTAGCTTTTCATTCTTATATTTCTTTGTTGTTAAATCTAGAATCATTTTGCCAAGTTCAGGCTCAGCAGAAACAAAACATTTTCCCAGAATTCATCATAAGTTACAGATCTTTTTTGGAATTTTGATTTAAATTTAACTAAATGTATTGGTAAATCAGGTATGATTAATATCTTTATAATGTCGAGTCATCTCATCCTAAAATATTGGATATTTCTCTATTCAAGTTTAATTTATGCTTTTCAGTAAATTTCTTTGTGTAGTTGTTATGTGTGGGTCCTTAAGGTTTAAAAACATTTTCTTCCATTTGTGTATTGAATCTTTTTTCCTTTATGTTCTTGGGCTTTCTGTTGGTGCTAAATGCCAATTTTCTAAACTCATGTCATTAAATCTAATTTTTTCATTGGGTCATCTGGGAAGATAGTTATATACAAATGATGATTACTTTTGCTTTTTTGCCCTCGGTATTACAATATTAGATCTTATTTGTCCTCTTGAAATAGAATCTTAGAACCTTGATAAAAGCACTGGAAGCTAGTTTTCTTGTTTTTCCACTTAAAATGCTGTCAGTGCATTTCAGATGAAGATTATCATCTTTAACAAGTATTCTTCTATTCAGAGTTTAGTCAGGGGTTCTCTCTTGTTTTTTGCTTTTATTTTTAAATTAGAAATGTAATAACTTTTTTGCTCCTTTGAAGTTGATTTGATTTTTTTCTTTTACTTTTTTTTTTTTAAGATTTTATTTATTTATTTGACAGAGATCACAAGTAGGCAGAGAGGCAGGCAGAGAGAGAGGGAAGTAGGCTCCCTGCTGAGCAGAGAGCCCGATGGGGGGATTATCTCTGCCTAGGCTAAGATAATAACTTCAAGTGTGTTGAAATAATTTGAAAAAATTTTTAAAAGTTTTTCTTTAATTTCCTGTTAGTTAACATACAGTGTAATATTAGTTTCAGGTTATAATATGGTGATTCAGCACTTGCATGCATCACCTGATGCTCATCACAACAAGTGTGCTCCTTCATCCCCATCACCTGTGTCCCCCATTCCCCCCACACACATCCTCTCTGGTCACCATC